TCGGCGAGTCGGGTCGTGGACCCCTAACCCCTTTTCTGGTTTGAGTGAAACCGTTGAGTCTAGGAGATGACTCTGTGAGTTGGGCAAGATTAGGACTCGGAAACTAAAGAACTCGACGAGTCCAAGGAGGGACTCGACGAGTTAATACGTTTTGTCCTGATGCAATGACAGGAAGAACTCGACGAGTCTGGGAAGGGACTCAACGAGTTGACTCGGTTGACCACGAGTCTGAGTAGTACATGAACTCGCCGAGTTAGGAGATAACTTGACGAGTTGGGGTTGACTGGGAGTTGACCTTGACTTTGACTTTGACCTGGATGTTGACTTTGATCAAGGGTAAAATGGTCATTTTACCTTGAGAAGGATTATTAGATTTTGACTAAGTATTATTGTGATATCGATAGTTGGGGAGTCGTTGGAGTAGCTATCAGATATTCCTCACCGTGAGTTTTTGCAGACAGCTTTGCAATGTGAGTTTCCTTCAGTAGGAACGGGTCTACGGCACCAAGGCCGGCCTGTATATGTGATATGATAGTAGTTGAGTGTGGGCGGGGCCCGAATCTTATAGCAGCCGAGTGTGGGCGGGGACCGAATCTCGTAGTATTATTTGAGTATAGTTACGTGACTGTTTGCTAGAAGTAGATATACTTGTTGTATGTGTGATACTTGTATGTATGTTATAGAGCGGAGTGTGGGCGGGGCCCGAATCTCCTAGACAGCGGAGTGTGGGTGGGGCCCGAATCTCCTAGACAGCGGAGTATGGGCGGGACCCGAATCTCCATGAGAGTGGGCGGGGCCCGTATCTCTTAGTTGTATGTTATATGTATGGTATGTGGTAGTTGGGGAGACTCACTAAGCTTCGTGCTTACAGTTTTCTGTTTTGGTTTCAGGTACTTCCACTAGCAAGGGGAAGGACTCAGGATGATCGCATGGCACACACCACAGTTTCAACCTTGGATGTTTAGACTCTGATATTTTTCTCATATGATTTTGATATAGTATTTGACATGATGTTTTAAGAGATATGATTTGTGATTTATTATATGATATTAATGGATTATGGTTTTTCGTAAATGATTTTAAAAAGAAATTTTGGGTCTGTATTTTTGGGATGTTTCAATTCGGTGGAACACTAGCAGTTAGTGTTAATGATCATACTTTTCAAGGAAAATGAAAGTTGTTCATCCGGGTACTCTATCCCCATCAGGGTTGCCTTATTGACACATACTGCTACGGAATCCCTGAAGTAGTATTGTCTACTCACAGAGATCCTTAGGGTAAATCTTTTAGGTTTTGCATTTTAGGGTCATAGAGAGTGAGAATAACGGGAACGGGTAATCGAGTTAATTGTTTGTTGAGAATAATAAATAATATTATTGTGGGTTGAAAACCCTATGTGCTCACCAAACTCCCAAGTCTGACCTACTTGGTTTCTTTGTGTCAGAGGTAGCGGTACGAAGATACAATCCACCAAGAGATTCGAGGAGTTTAGGTCATTAATACAATAAGTTAATGTAATGCTTGTAATGACTATGTTTATGTTTATGTTTCTTCTATCAGTTATGACATCCCAAATTTTTATTAAATCAATGAAAAAACATTTCTTCAGAAATATTTTTATGGGACCAATTCCACAAAATGAAAAATACTCTGTTTTAAAATAAGCATAATCCAATGAAAAATTGTTTCGATTGCAAAACCTAATGAGAGTGTCAACAGAAAAAAGAAAAGGTTGTTGAAGGATGTGAGGAAGATGATAATAAGGATAAAAGAGTCGATGAGACCCATATTTATTAAACATTCTTATAATTAGGTTAATAATAAATATAACATTAAAATATTAACAAAGGTAAATATGTCATACATAAATATTTAACCCTTATTTTTAATGGGTTTATAAAAAAAGACTAACAATATAAGATTTTGAAACCATAAAAATTATGTATATAATGTTTTCTAAAGTTATCTGGAAGGTTTTATTTTCGAAAATAGTAGTGCCCAACGGTGAAATTTTGTCAAAAAATTATATTTGATAACTTTCTCATCCTTCCATAAAACCACAAAAAATTCAGAGATGTATTTAAAGATTATATGCGATAAGAAAAAAGCTTATTGTATTTTCACATCTTTTAAAAAAAAAAGATTATATGTGATAAGAAAAAAGCTTATTGTATTTTCACATCTTTTTTTCCCCTGAACCACCTTGGTGGTGGTTTATAACTTTGTATATGCTTATACTTGTAACCATTTCATTACATGATTTTCTTCTATTACTTTTATCAAAATGCCTGACATAAAATACCATAATCATTGAGATGCTAACACTTTCTCCATGAAATTATTCTTTCCTCTTTTTCTAAATCAACATTTCATCTTAATTTAACGAAAACCGGACGAATAGTATGCAACTAATATGACTATAAATATATATTTTATTTTAGATATGTTGTTAAAAACTTTTTTAAGTATAATTGCATATTTATCTTTTTTGTCAATAAGAATTTTTAAAGTCAAAGAGAAACAACAATTGTAGCCCAACTAGCTATCTTTTTAAGTTGTTAAAACTTAAAATTTAAAGTTGTGTTTGGGATTTTATTAGTGTATTTTTTAAAGTTTATTGTAACGTATTGATTTAGGAGAAAAAAAAAAGACTATTTGGGTGAGATGAAAAAATGTTTTGTCTAAGAAATGGGACTTAGAATTGGTAGTTTATTCGCTTTTAATCGAGCATTGCTCTTCGTAAGGAGATGAGCCTTCGTTGTTGAACAAATTGCTCGCAGAGTTCATGTCATAAAGACAATTTATAGTGTTGATGGTCACGTTACTTTACATCACTCACCAGATTACAACTTGTATATAATTATTTTTACAACAATTTTACAATTTTCCTCAATGTCTTCTTACATAATTATTTTCTACAATTTTTTATAGATATATCATTTTTATGTTATTTTATATTTGTTATGCCCGCTAATATTTAGTTATTTACCAAACACTTAGACCTCGTTTGTTTTTCTACAAAGGTACTTTTTGAGCACTTTTCCCTTCTGGCGGGTAGACGTTTCTCAAGTGCATGTCTTCTTCCGTAAACATGGAAAAAGACAAAGACATTTAACCACTTCCAAAACAAACAATACCTTACTAATTTATCAAAACAAGCTTATCCGACAAAACTACCAAACACAATTTAAAACTGTTTACAACAAATTTAGAAGTCATAGGTTTTAAAACTACACTTATGCCAACAAAATTAATCTCATAAAACCGAAGAACTCTACAGAATCAAATCAAAATCAACTATAGTGTTTTCTCTTCTTATATTAACCGTGAGTGAGACCTGTTCATGGGGCACCTAGGAATGACATTTACCCTTTTAGTTTTGTCATCAATCCTATATGCAGTAAACATATTATGAACAGATAGTAATAAATTAATTTTTTAGGAATGGTTTGTTAGAAGCTTTAGGCGTATATGTAAGGAATCAGTTAGCTTTACTTTTAATAGGAAAAGTATTTATTTCTTTGAATCCTTCACTTTAACTTTACTAAAAAATTCACCTGCTTCCCTACATTGTTCTCGTTTAGTTAGAGGCATTACCGCTATTAGAACAGAATCAATTCTCCCCCCACCTTGATGCCCATAAACACTAATTTGACTTGTGTTTTTAATCATTTCCTTTTTTACTATGATTTCCTACAAATTTCCTAAATATTTGCTTTCGTCTTCCTCCATGGGCCCACACATTCAATCAAGGAGGTGTTGGTCTTCGAATTTCTTTACTTTTATTGATTCGTGTATAACTTAACCTCCAGTCCATGACATGCACATGGATCATTCCACATAAAGGGTTATTCTCTCTGCAACACAAACCTAAGCCGAGTTGGCCCACACCACCCCGTTCTAGAAGCATCATCATGTGATATGCAAACCAGATATACAACAGTCTGCCAGATGGCTTGACAACCGTGCTTCGGCTGCGGCATGTCAGCTTGATTTGACTCACGATTGCGAGTAGCTCAGAGACGCGGCACATGTTATGAAAGTGGCGGCAGTACACCATAGAAACCGGGCCCACCTTATCAGATTCTCTTGATACCCTGAGTTTCTCTTGACCATACTCAAGCATGCATACACACATACATTATGTATATATATACTCATGCAAGTTACTTTGTGAAGAAACATAAGTGTTAAAAACCAAAGCATATAGACATCATTACCACTTGGCCAATGGCCATGGCCCTCCACTCGGTGGTTCTAAACCCTGAAGACACCACCACCACCACCACCACCATTACTAAACCAATGGAAGAACTTTCAACAATGGTGAAACCTGATCAGGCCTTATACCTCATAACATTAAAGGTCTTTTTACATCACCACCCGTTAATTTCTTTGAGTTAATTACATAAATGTTTTTCATGGTGATTTTGTCATTCTTTTCAGTTTGAAGAGGTTGTTTATAAAGTCAAACTTGAAGGTTCAAGAGAGAAGACGATACTAAATGGGGTAACAGGTATGGTTTGTCCAGGAGAGATACTAGCAATGTTGGGTCCATCAGGAAGCGGTAAAACCACCCTCCTGACCGCCTTAGGCGGGCGGCTGACCGGAAAACTCTCCGGGAAAATAACATACAACAGCCACCCGTTTTCGGGTCCCACCAAAAGAAAAACCGGATTTGTGACCCAAGATGATGTTCTTTACCCTCATCTAACCGTGACCGAAACCCTCTTATTCACCGCTATGTTACGTCTCCCAAAAACCCTGACTCAAGCCGAAAAGGTGCACCAGGTGACTCGAGTCATAACTGAGTTGGGTCTGACCCGGTGTCAGAATAGCATGATTGGTGGCCCACTATTTAGGGGTATATCAGGTGGTGAGAAAAAGAGGGTGAGTATAGGTCAAGAAATGTTAATTAACCCAAGCCTTTTGTTGTTGGATGAGCCGACTTCCGGTTTGGACTCGACCACGGCTCACCGGATCTTAACCACGGTTAAACGGCTTGCGAGTGGTGGACGAACCGTGGTCACCACAATTCACCAGCCATCGAGCCGGATCTACCACATGTTTGATAAAGTGATCTTGCTCTCTGAAGGCTCACAAATTTACTATGGTTCTGCTTCCACAGCTTTGGACTATTTTTCTTCAATTGGATTTTCCACGTCTGTTACAGTCAACCCGGCTGACCTTTTACTTGATCTTGCTAACGGTAAATTATTCTTTCAACTCAATAATTTGATATAATATTATATTTATGTGACTTTTCATCATTATTAATCACAAAAAAAGTTTTTAAATGTCACAGGGATTGCACCTGATTCAATGCATGATTATGAGCAAGGTGAAAACACGGACGATGAGAAGAAATCAATAAGGCAACAACTCATCACTTGTTATGAAACAAGACTGAAAACTGATGTATGTGATTTGGATGTTTGCAATTACAATCTTGGAAAAGAGGCTTTGCCAAGTAAGTGTTTGTAAAAATAATAATAATAATAATAATAATAATAATAATAATAATAATAAAAAGAATCAATGAATACTGTGAAATTTGTTTTTTTGGAATGTAAAGGTAAAATGATCATTGAGTCTCATTGATACAGTTTATTCTGACTAGAAAAGAAAATGACATTATGTATACAACACTTTATCCAGGAAACCGTATGGAATCAGAGCAATGGTGTACAAGCTGGTGGCATCAGTTCAAGGTGTTGGTTCTCAGAGGACTTAGGGAGAGGAGATTTGAAGCTTTCAATAAGCTTAGAATCTTTCAAGTCATAAGTGTTGCTATACTGGCTGGACTCCTATGGTGGCACACTCCTTCGTCCCATATTGAAGACCGAGTGAGCATTTTCATCTCAAAACCTCATCATATACAAAAATCTTAACTAAGTTACTTGTTGTTTGCTTTTGACTTAATGTACTTAACAGAGACATGACTTAATCTAATAAGCTACATATGAGTGTTTTCTTTTTGACAGTTTCCATTAAGTCCTAACATTTTACAAATCTATTCCCATGCATCCTTTTCTTTCCATTCCCTAAGTGGGCCGTCATTTTTTCAAATATATTTTTACCGGACAACACTTAGAGGTTGTTTTTTTTTTTATTATCAACTCCTGAATGGGTAAAATGACTAGAGTGATAATGATGTCTGAATAAACATACATAAGAAGCGCCTGAATGAGTCTAAATGACTATTTGACTTTTACATTCCACGACATATAAGAACGGCATATAGGTAAAGGATTAGTGTCTTATTACATTAAGTTATGTTTTTTTGGCTTAAACCATTAAGTCATTATGTCCAAATTAAGTAATAAAGAAACAATCATACAGTATAGATATCCAGATTAAGTGTTTAACTTTTAAAAACAATTTGGTTGTTTGATGCAGATAGCAATGCTTTTCTTCTTCTCAGTATTTTGGGGATTTTACCCACTCTACAATGCGGTTTTCACTTTCCCTCAAGAAAGAAGAATGCTAATAAAAGAGCGTTCATCCGGAATGTATCGTCTCTCCTCTTACTTTTTAGCAAGAACCATAAGTGACCTACCACTTGAGCTTGCACTCCCAACTGCTTTCACCTTCATACTTTATTGGATGGGTGGGCTAAAACCCGACCCGCCCACTTTCATCCTTTCACTCCTTGTTGTCCTCTACAATGTTCTCGTGGCCCAAAGTCTTGGACTTGCAATTGGTGCTATACTTATGGATGTAAAACAAGCCACTACTTTAGCCTCGGTTACAACTCTGGTTTTTTTAATTGCCGGTGGGTATTATATACAACAAATCCCGACATTCATAGTGTGGTTAAAGTATTTGAGTTATAGTTACTATGGTTACAAGCTTCTTCTTGGGGTTCAGTTTGATGAGAACGATGTTTATGAATGCTCCAAGGGTGTTTATTGCCATGTTGTGGATTTTCCGGGGGTTAAATCCGTCGGATTGAAGAACTTACATATAGATTTGTTGGCTATGGGGTTCATGTTGATTGGATATCGGTTCATTGCTTTTCTTGCATTGCACAGGGTCCGGTGAAGTTTACATGAGGACCAGTTTTCTTGGAAGAGAAATAATATTAGATTTAGATCACATGTTGCAAGAATTTTGATCACATTTACCAAAACGCCCTTGTGGCAAGTGTATGCATAAAACTAACTCGCCAATTTGATAAAAAGAATTATTAATAAAATTAATGAATGGAGTGGTTATAAAAATGATGTTTGGATTGAATATATATTATGTTGTTTCCGTTGCTACCATTATATCAAACTACGATTGGTCCTGTTATCTTCCATTTCAAGAAGGGTTACATGCAAAAAAAAAATGTACTTTCATTGATTTTTTATTTTAGCATCCTACTTTCATTCTTCCCATTACAGCATTATACTCTAAAATATCTACCTAATTTATCACCTTCGTTGTAACACAAAACAATTTGAAGTGCTATAATTTGGTAGATTTTTCAAAATATAATGACCTAATAAGAAAATAAATGAAAGTACAATGCTATAAGTGGATATATTTTTCAAGCTTAATAAGAAACAAATGAAGATACAATGTTGTAGTATAAAGAGACGGAAGTAGAATGTTGTATTCACAAACAAATCAAAGTATATTACAATTTTGTTCATAGTTTTTGTTTTAATTTTAGTATAACCTATATCAATGATGATATCAAAAGTACTAAATTAACCCCAAATAGTCAAAGTGCATCTCTTTTTCCTTAAACGGGTAGTAAATTACAACGGCTTCAAGATGATAATGACATCTAAAGAATATTCTACAAACAGAGTGATCTTTTTCATATAATATGAACCACACAACTTTTCATAGATATGTATTGATACCTGAAGTTAGGTAAGTTTTTTTTTTAAGATTAAGGAGAAAAAATTAAAGATTTAGCCCAACTCAATCAAATGACCAACATGTGGAATCAAAGTGACATCAACATAAATCTTTATCCACCATTATAGCAGATCTTTTCCCAATTTAGACCTATAAATTTACTGTATCAAAGAATGGCATTGAGAATAACCACTAGGTTATGATAAAGCTTACTTGACCAATCAAAACAAACATGCTTTTGTCATGTCAGCTCCATTTACATCCGATGTCATTTCCAAATCCCTAAGAATATATAACAGACTAGCCAAACAAAATAGGTTCCCTAGGGCAAAAGTAAGGAGTTGTTTCTTTATTTTTCCTTATTAAGTCATGTATGGGTAATGATGTGTGTTTGGATAAAGTGTTGTACTCAGAAGGTTTGTTTCTTTTCTAAATCGAATAAATCGTCTAAATGAGTCTAAAATGACCATTTTACACTTATATTCAAATCTTTTTTCCACAATATTCATCAAGTGGAGTTGGGAGGAAAAAAGAAGGGTAAATATGCAAAAGGTTAGTTTGTCTTAATAAATTAAGCCAGGTATTTTTTTTGCTTAACCCATTAAGTCATTTTGTCCGGATCAAGTAAAAAAGAAACAACCATGTATAGTTGTTCAGATTAAATGTTTAACCTATTCAGCTCTAAGGCAATGCCTATGCTTGAACCTCATACCTCAGTAATGACATTTGTATTGACCTTGGTTAGGCTTTTCTAATTTAGCTTTTCAACAATTCTGAAAGTTGTAGAATAAAAAAAGAACATAAATACTGCTTTGATGCTTGATGATCTATCATTTGGTGTAATGATTCCATATTTAATTGAATAATAACAAATGGTCATTCTTGCTTTGAGAACCTTCTCGATCAACTATTGGAAGTAATAATCCTTCATTCATATCTAAAATGTCTATATATCAAAATACCCAACTTGAAAATTCTCCAAATCCAAAGAGAATATTGGTGATAAAGGCCAGCTGGAAATTACAAGTTCAGTGTGTAAATAGCACTCCAACTTCAATTGGGCATTCAAGTCAATCATACAAACCTAACTTGGGCGGATTTGGGAAGAAAGTGAGGGAAAAGAAAATTTTAAGTTTTATTTTCTTTTTCCTCCTAACTCAGGAACACGGAAACTTAAAATTTTCATTTCATTTCCTTCGAACTCGGGAACACGGAATAATTAATATTTTCCTTCACCTCCATTTCTTTGTGTCAAAATTTTCCTTCCCTTTCCTTTAATTAATTTACAAAAAAACTCGGGAACAAAAGAAACATTAGTGCGGATTTTTTTTCCGTGGGTAAATAAAGCTTACATAACATGTGCAGGAATACGAGCTGTTTGGGATCGTTTATTTGAAACAACTAAAACCTTTTAGCTAAACATCACAAAAATAACCATATCGTATGAAATGTTTTTTTAATATGTAGAGTAATTAGGTTTAGTATTGGAGAGTTACACCTTGTTTCCTAGTTCAACTTAAAGAAAACAATTTAGGGGGGGGGGGGGTGTTGAAAAGAAAGTAAAAGAAATTTGTGTTCTTGAGTTTCATTAAACGAAGGAAATGGAGGAAACAGAATGATCACTTTTCCTCCTAACTTTCCTTCCGATTTAGAAGGATTTAGAGAGAAATAACGAAATGTTTAATTTTCGTTCCACTTTTCTACAACTCGAAAACACAAAAGACAAATTTCTTTTATTTTCCTTTCTCTTCTTTTTTCTCCCTACTTTCTTTTCTCTTCTTCTTTTTTTCTCTGCTACAACTTAGGAACTAGACATTAGGCTACTAGGTAAGGAGCACCTTTCACGGGTAGAAGCTGATATGGAGAGTTTTTACCGATGAATACCACCCCAAGTTATAATAGGTGTCTTGTGGAGTAGGGGTGGTCACAGATCTTCACGAAATGCACTTCTTTATCTCTCTTCTTTTCTTATTTCTCTCTCTTCTTCACCGGCGAACACTATTTCCACAACCTTATGAAATGGTTGTGGAATGGTTTGATGATGATGTGACTTATATTTCATGCATGAGGATACCTCATAGGCCATAGCCTTATTCGTACCCATTTACATAGTCAATACTACTATTTTATGTCTAACGTAAAATTATTCACTTGTTTATTATAATAAAGTAACATATAGCATAACGTTTTTCATCACATTTCTTAATTTACATATAAAATCTACCATTCTATATGCGGATCCAAGATTATGTATCTATTTCTTGGACTATGACCACTAGCAAAAAATATTAATTTGCGATGCATTTCTATTTGAGTTGTCATCAAAGCAATGAATAAATATTTCTTCTTGAATCTCTTGAACCATGGATATACAAAATCTTGGACCTTTGAAATTTCGGATCATACTTTTCTCTTGATTCTTTTTGTGTTTTCCATTTACCGAAAAAGTGATTTGCACCATCACTTGGTTCGAATATAACAACTCATGTAGATGTGTCATAAACCTCATAACTCATTATTTGACTAATAATAATGATTAAGCTCTTACACATCTTTTTTCACATGTATGTCATCATTTTCTTGTTTAGATGACAGGTTAAGTGGTTGTTAATCATAACCAAGTAGTTTATAAACGTTGCGTAAAGGTAGATTGGCTCATGAGATAGGACGCTCTTTAGGATCAAATGTTTTGGATTGTGGTTGAATCTCCAAACAATCTTCTTGGTTGGACGACAACTAAAACACAAACAACCTAACCATTTATCATTATAAAAATCAAACAACAAAATTTATAACTAGTTTGACATAAGTTATATATTATATTTCAAATATATAACACATATATGGCGTTTCTATCAAAATCCTAAGTTCTTTGTTGTTAGATTTAAATATGGAAACAAGCATTATGAAATATTATGTTCATTAGTTGCGAAAAAATGTTCAAGGACTATGAGATTAATAAATAATAGTTCAAACTAAGGTACATGTATATTTTCAGTTGTATAACACTTCTAGTGTATTTATGTCATAATTATAATTTATGTGTCCAGTATTAATAAGAATGAAATATTATGTTCATTAGTTGCGAAAAAATGTTCAAACACTATGAGATTAATAAATAGTTCAAACTAACTTACATGTTTATTTTCAGTTGTATAACACTTCTAGTGTATTTATGTCATAATTATAACTTATGTGTCCAATATTAATAAGAACAATCGAGAAATATACATTGCAAAATATTATATTCATTGATTGTGAAAATATGCAAGCATTATGAAATTAACAAATAGTTCGATATAAGATATAAATCTATACACATCTAAGATGTTGACGTACTCATAAAATTCATTTTTACATAATATTATAACAAAACTGATAAAACTTGCATTATGAAAATTTATGTTCTTCAGCCATGAAAAAAATCAAGCACTTTGAAACATAAATAATAGCAAAAAATACATGGATTCAAGAAAATGAAAATGAATAATTGGACATATATATA